ATAAGTCTTTTGCTTTTTCTATTAATATATATTTTAATTTTTGATAGTATTACAGATATCTCGCATTTACCCCCCTTCTTCTAACCACCGCACTCCAGGACTTCACTGCCCTATTCACTGTGTCCAAGGGCTATATGCACATAATTATATAAGTTCTTTGGTTTATCTCATATCCTCTTCCCAATCTCCACACTGAGGTATGTCCGTCTGTTCCATGCCTCCATGCTTCAGGTCTTATTTTGTTGGTCTATTCATTTTGTTCGTCAGATTCCATAAATAAGTGAGATCATATGATATTTGTCTTTCTCAGTTTGGCTGATTTCACTTAGCATATTATTTTCCAGGTCCTTCCATGCCATCCTAAGGGTAAGAGATGCCTCTTTTTTACAGCTGCATAGTATTCTGAAGTATAAATGTCACACAGCTTTTTTATCCATTCATCTGCTGAGGGGAACTTGGACTGTTTCCAAGTCTTGGAAATTGCAAATAATGCTGTTATGAACATAGGGGTGTATATATTTTTTTCTGATTGGTTCTTGGGGTTTTTAGGAAATATTCACAGAAGTGGTGTCACTGAGTCAAATGTAAGTTCCATTTAAAATTTTTTAAGGAAACTCCATACTGTAGAGGCTGTACCTATCTGAATTCCCACCAGTAGTGAATTAGTGTTCCCTTTTCTCCATATCCTCTCCAGCACTTGTTGTTTTTTTTGTTGATTTTTTTATGATAGCCATTCTGATAGGTGTGAGTTGACATCTCATTCTGGTTTTAATTTTCATTTCTCTTATAATTAGTGACTTTGAGCATTTTTTTCATATGACTCTTGGCCATCTGTATATACACTTTAGAGAAAAGTCTATTCAGGTCTCCTGCCCATTTCTAAATTGGATTGTTTGTCTTCCTTTTGTTGACTTGTATGAGTATTTTATACATTTTGGATATTAACCTCTTATCAGAAGTATCATTGGCAAATATGTTCTCCCATACAGTTCCCTTTTCATTTTGATGGTGGTTTCTTTTGCTGTGCAGAAGCTTTTTATTTTGATGTAGTCCCATTTTTTTTATTTTCTCCTTAATTTCTTTTGCCCTAGGAGATGTATCTGTAAACATATTGCTATGAGAGATGTCTGAGATTTTACTGCCTATGTTCTCCTCTAAGATTTTTATGGTTTTATGCTTTACATTTAAGTCTTTTATCCACCTTGAGTTTATTCTTGTCTATTGTGTAAGTTGGTAGACTGGTTTCATGTTTGTGCATGTGTCTGTCAGGTTTTTCCCAGAAACATTTGTTGAAAAGACTGTCCTTACTCCATTGTGTGTTCTTTTCTCCTTTGTCAAATATTAATGGATCATAACGATGTGGGTCAATTTGTGGGGTCTCTGTTCTGATCCATTGGTTTATATGCTTGCTCTTGTGCCAGTACCAGGCTGTTCTGGTTTTATGGCTTTTTAGTACAGTTTGATATCTGGTATTGTGATCACTCCTACTCTGTTCTTTTTTCTCAAGATTGCTGCAGCTATTTTTTTTAAGGTTCCATATAAATTTTCGGAGTATTTATTCTAGCTCTGTGATGTATGCCATTGGCATTTTAATAGAGATTGTGTTGACTCTGTAGATTGCTTTAGGTAGTTTAGACATTTTAATTATGTTAAGTCATCAAATCCATGAACGTGATATATGCTTCAATTTGTTTGTATCTTCCTATATTTCTTTTTTCAATGCCCTATAGTTTTCCAAATACATGTCTTTGACAACCTTGGTTGAGTTTATTCCTAGGTATCTTTTTTGTTGTTGTTGCAATGGTAAATGGTATTGTTTGTTTAGTTTCCCTTCCTGAGAGTTTATTATTGGTGTATAATAATGCTATAAATTTGTGGATGTTGATTTTGTATCCTGCTACCTTGCCAAATTCATTTATTAAGTCTAATTGTTTTCTGGTGAAGTCTTTAGGGTTTCTTATATACAGTATCATGTCATCTGTGAACAATGACAGTTTTACTTCCTCCTTCCCAATTTGGATAGCTTTTATCACTTAATGCCTGATTGCTGTGGCTATGACTGCTGGTAATATGTTGAATAAGAGTGGTGGAAGCAGACATCCTTGTCCTGTTCCTGTTCTTAAAAGAAACAATTTTAGTTTTTGCTCATTGAGTATTATGTTGGCTGTAGCTTTATAATATATGGCCTTTATTATGTTGAGATATGATCCTTCCATTCCCACTTTGCTGAGGTTTTTATCAAAAAAGGGTCCTGGATTTTGTCAAACGCTTTTTCTGCATCTATTGATATGATCATTTTATTTTTATCTTTCAGTTTTTTATGTGATGTATCACATGTATTTATTTGCAAATATTGTACCAGTTTTGCATCCCCAGAATAAATCCCACTTGAGCATGGTATATGATCATTTTAATATATTGCTGGACCTGATTTGCTAATATTTTGTTGAGGATTTAAGCCTCTGTGTTCATCGGGGATATTGGCTTGTAATATTCTTTATTTGTATTGTATTTATCTGATTTTGGAATTAGGATAATACTGACTTCATAAAAGAGATTTCTCTTGAATATGTGGAATAGTTTGAGGAGGATAGGTGTTAATTCTTTGAATGTTTGGTAAAATTCTTCTATAAATCCACCCAGTCCAGAACTTTTATTTTCTGGAAATTTTTGAATTACTTCTTAAATTTCATCAGTTATAATTGGCCTACTCAGGTTTTCTGATTCTCCCTTGTTGAGTTTTGGAAGATTGTATGTTTTTAGGAGTTTTTCCATTTCACTCAGGTTGTCCAGTTTGTTGTGATATAATTGTTCATCGTATTTGCTTACAATCCTTTGTATTTCTGTGGTGTCCTTGGTATATCGCCTCTTTCATTTCTTATTTTATTTATCTGGGTCCTCTTTCTATGTTTCTTGATGACTCTGGCTAGGGGTTCATCAATGTTGTTTATCTTTTGAAAGAACCAGTTCTTGGATTTATTTAACTTTTGTACTTTTTTTTTTTTTGGTCTCTATGTCATTTATTTCCTCTCTGATCTTTATTATTTCCTTCCTTCTAATTCCTCTGGGATTTTCTTCTTGTTCTCTTTCTAATTAAATTAGTTTTAGGGGTAGATAGTTTATTAGTGCTTTTTCTTGTTTCTTGAGATAGGCCTGTAGTGCTATGAACTTCCCTCTCAGGATTGCTTTCACCGTGTTCCATTTGTTTTGGGTGGTTGTGTATTCATTTTCATTTGTTTACAGAAAGTATTTAATTATTTGTTTTATCTCATTGGTAACCCATTCATTGATTAATAACATGCTATTTAGCCTCCACGTATTTTAGTGTTTTTGAGAGTTGTTTTTTTTTTTTTTTTTAATTGTAGTTGGTTTCTAACTTCATGTCATTTGATCTGAGAAGATGCTTGGTATTACAGCACTCTTCTTGAATTTATGTAGACTTGTTTTGTGCCCTAACATGTTGTCTACCTTTGATAATGTTCCATGTTCATTTGAGAAGAATAAATATTTTGTTGCTTTGGGGAGAAATGTGCCATAGTATCTGTTATATCCCTCTGATCTAGGGTGTCATTTATAGCCTTTGTTTCCTTGTTAAATTTTTGTCTGTAATACCTATCCAGTGATGTTTGGGGGTGTTAAAGTCCCCTACAATGGCTGTATTGCTGTCATTCTCTCCCTTAAAGTCCATCAAAAGTTTTTATGTATTTAGGTGCTCCTATATTGAGGCATCAGTCTTATTCAAGGACTGTGCTGAAAGGGTCTTCCTTCTGGGAGAAACAGACTCTCAGATGTGGTTGTTGGTTGTCTTCCATGGTTCGGGCCCATGCTTAAGAAATCCTGAAGACTTCAATTTTATAGACACATTAAAAAGATAAGCAGAGAATTACTGAATAGAAATAAGGAAAGAGCTATATAGATGATTTGGTATTTAACCTAAGACACAGTGATCTTTAAAACATCATTCACATCGTAGGCTATGCTGTTCTGTTATCAACTTTCCAGGGTCCTATTAAGTAGACATACCTACAGAAGTGAAACTAAGAAAGTATAACTCTAATGATGTTACTCTGTATGAGTTATTATTATTATTTATGTATCAAGAGACATTAGAGTAACTCCAGAGAACTGTCAATACTTTCTGTCTATACCTCTTAAACATATTAGTTTAAAATAGAAAAACCTCGTTAGATTTCTATGGTAAGGTGGTAACTTTAAAAATAAGGCATTTTGTTCTTCTGTCATTCAGAAACCCTAATGAGATGGCTGCATATGTGAAATCTAAAAGAACACTTTGCCTTACGCCCCCGTGCCCTTTTCTCTCCTACAGGGATGGGACGGCTTGAATAATCCACCTACTTGTCTTCTTCCCCTTTTTTGAATATATATATTTTTATTGATTTCAAAGAGGAAGGGAAAGGGAGGTAGAAACACCAATGATGAGAGAGAATCATTGATTGGCTGCCTCCTGCCCATCTCCCACTGGGGATCAAGACAGCAACCTGGGCATGTGCCCTAAATGGGAATCCAACTATGACCTCCTGATTTATTGGTCGATGTTCAACCAGTGAGCCATGCCAGTCGGGCTACTTAGCTTCTTAATGGGAAGAAGAAAAGCTCCATTTTGAATATTAATAGGGAGAGGGGAGTTTCCACTGTGATGTCCTAAAGTCAGATTTTGTGTTTCTTCCTACATTAGCTTATGAGGAACAGCTACCAGCAGCAGCTCAGAGTTCTCATTTGAACCACTTTGCTCCTTCATCCCTGAGCACTTAGCTTCCAAAGGTCAGAGTGAGTAGCCCAAGGGAAGTGCCTGGCTTTTTCCAAGTACTTATGGAGAGAGGTCAGGCACAAGGGTTCTGTAGACCTACTGTGAGTGCAGAGTTTGCTCACAGACAGGACACTAGTGGGCAATAGAGAAGGACACTGTTGGGCAGAGGCATTGCAGTGGGAAAGGTTGGAAGTCAATCCTAATGCTGTGGTTTTGTTTCCTGATGTCCCAGTGCTTGAAAATCAAGATTCACAACTGCGACTTGTCTTAGTGGGTAAGACTGGAGCTGGAAAAAGTGCCACAGGAAACAGCATCCTTGGAAAGAAAGCATTTAATTCCAGCATTGCAGCAAAATCCATCACCAAGGCCTGTCAGAAAGAGAGAAGCGTGTGGAATGGGAGAGAAATAGTCGTCGTGGACACACCTGGCATTTTTGAAACGGAAGTACCAGATGCTGACACACAAAGGGAGATTGCTAAATGTATCCTCCAGACCTCCCCCGGGCCTCACGCTGTGCTCCTGGTGGTCCCGCTGGGCCGGTACACAAAGGAAGAACAAAAGGCTGTGGAGAAGATGCTGTCAATGTTTGGACCCAAAGTGAGGAAATACATGATTCTCTTATTTACCCGGAAAGATGACTTGGATGGCATGGAGCTCCGTGATTACTTAAAGGAAGCACCAGAAGGCATTCAAGATCTGATGAAGCAGTTCAAGGATCGCCACTGTGAGTTCAACAATAAGGCGACAGGGGCTGAGCAGGAGGATCAAAGGACACAACTGCTGGACCTGGTCCAGCGCGTAGTGAAGCAGAACAAGGGAGGATTCTACACTAATAAGATTTACCAAAGAGCAGAGGTGGAGATTCAGAAACAGATTCAAGCTATACAAGAAAACTACAGAGCTCGGCTGAAGAAAGAGAAAAGGCAGTTAAAAGAGGAGTATGAAGAGAAAATCAGAAAGCTAGAGGATACATTAGAGCAGGAAATGAAAAAGGCAGAAATGGAGAGGGAATTTGAAGAAAGGGAGAAATACTATTTGTTCATGCAGCAAAATGCTAGAGGTGAAGTTGAGAGTCAGAAAGGGATGCTTGATTTAATCTTGAAAGGATTAAGAGTAATCTGGAGAGAAATCTCATCTCTGTTCAAGGAAGATTAGGCTAATGAAAATCTGTCTAAATTTCCTGTATGTTTTCAGGTGCGTCTGCCCCATATAACTAATTCCCTAAAGTCAGAACTCTGTTTCTGTCTCTCAGGCTCTCAGACTGGGGCGTGTAGTAAACTTCAGTCATAGAAATTGGGTTACTTTTGGTTGAGGTAAGAGGAAAGGAAAACATCCTCAATTTGTAAAACTCCAAAGCAGAAAGTATGGATGCTCCCTATCTTCTGAATTCTCAAAGACAGAGAGAAAATGAATGCAGGAGATCAAAAGACCATGACCCCATGCATTCTCTATCCTTAGTAAAGTTTCCTCCTCTAAATTGGCACATAATCTCCACCCGTGGCTCCTACTCCTTATTTTTATCTTTAGGATCACAATGCTCATTTTACAGATGTGGTTAGAGAAATCAATTCTTTGCCTTAGATAATCTATAGATAGAGATGTTTATAAAATTCTATCTATATATACATAAATTTGTTGAATTTAATTTTTATGGAAGGACTAAAATTGTTCCTTATTATCTGCCCACTAGAGAACAAAGATTTGTCTGGAAAATGTTTTTCAGTACTCAAATAAGTGAAATGCTAGAAAGAGCAAAAGACAAGAGATTCAACTGCTAAGAGAACAATGTTCAGTATATTCAGATGTTTCTGTAGAAAGTTGTTGAGCAAACTCAATGTAATCACTTTGCTGAATAACTAGTTCTCCTCTTCTTGTGAAACTAACTGTTGCCACCACACCTCTATCACACCACACCTTGATTACTTACTGCTAGGTGTATCATCCCCACACTGCTGCCTCCACTCATTTGAATTGTTTGCTCATTGTTCCCATAATAAAATGTTTCTATTCTCTCTTATTTGTGCAAAACTGAAATTTCTTTTACTTTATAAAATATCACCAATAATTCTAAGAGTACAGGGATGAATTTCACTTTTTGATAAAAATTCAAGATCCTTTTGGAGCTTTGCTTGGTCTACACCCTAATATGTATCTTCAGCATTCTCCATTTGAACCACATTCTTAATCTCTCTGCACATCAGAGACCACATTCTCCTTGAATTCATTCATTATGAATTCTGATATCTTTGTGAGTTTTCTGGGGAAGGAGGATTTTTTAATATATGAATAATAGTAATTGAAGTTTATCCCTTTTCTAATAGGTACTCCTACCCTAATAATTCATAGGCTTTCCCAAAGCACATTTCCATGTTCTACCAGTATGTCCTGGTGGTCACATGCCACTGTCCTTGCTCTGCCGTCTTGAAAGTGGCTTTTCCATGTCCCACTTCATTTTGTCTTCAATATACCTACTCCGTATTTCCCCCAAACACAAATGAATTTTGATTGTACCTTTAACAAAAGTTAGCAAAGTTTTAAGGATATGTGACTGGTTCTTTCAGAAATAGTCATTCACAGTGAGACACATTTGGTTTCACTTTGCAGAATATGGGGTGCACTCCCATTGGAGTTTTACACAAAATTCTGAGATTGGAAGTTAACATCCTCTTGTCTCAGGAGCATCTAGAAGCACATATTGAACCAAAGAAAGAGCAGCACATACCTAGCATGAAAAAATTAAATACAGGCTTAATATGAAAAAAGTCTTTAAGTTCTCTGTGTTATTTTCTGTGTAAATGCACTCACTTATTCTTACCCTTGAATTCATGTTTATGCTGTAGATGAGGCTAAGTAAAAGGTTCTGCTCTTGATAAGCTATGAGAAGATGAGTAGCCCATATGAAAACCCTGAGAGCAGTGTTGCCCATTTGTCTCTCTGGGCAGAAGGCAGACAGAAGGTCTTGATAAATAACATGCATTGTGGTTAGTATGATAGAAGAATGAGGCATGTCCCCTTCTCTGAAAAGTGTTGGGAGTTTATACTATTCATGCATTCACTAATAGTCAGTGATTATTTGAACTTAGTGGAATATTTCATATGAGACGTTGAGAATCTAGAGAAAGTAAAATAAAGTCCCTTTTGATACTGGCTTCCTACACTTAGCATAATGATTTTGAGAATCATTCAAGTTGCTTGTGAATAGATGTTGTTTTTTACTGACGAATAGTATTCCACCTTATGGATGTACCACAGTTCCTTTATCACTTCTTTATTTATTCTTATGCCCCTAATTGATTTATCTTGCCAAACTGCATTGGCTGAAATCTCCTTTATAACATTGAATTGTAGTAGAATGGCATGCTTACTTTTTTCCATGATATGCCTTTAGTATTTCCCTGTTAAGTGAGTGAGATACTGGAAAACAAGAGTATATGATGTGTGTGTGTGTGTGTGTGTGTGTGTGTGTGTGTGTGTGTTGTGTGTAATCATTAAGTAAATATCTCCTGATCACTATTTTCTTGATGGTTTTTATCACTAACAGCAATTAATTTTGTCAAAGGCTTTTAAATTTCATCTAGGTGGTACTTGGGTAGTGGCCTGTGTAGCCAAACTCTGGAGAAGCTCTCTGTGATGCAGAAGCTGGGCACTGAGGAAACCACACACACTGAATGAGTCCATAGGTAAAATATCCAATGAGGAGGACAGGAGAGAAGCTTATATCCTCATGTGATAACCAGTATTTTAGGGACTGATAAACTGAAGTAGAGAAAAAAATGGTGGCTGAATAGGCAGCAGTGTCGTGCATCTCTTCTTGGGCCAGAAAAGCAACTAAATTGAAGAACATCCACCCTGAATTAACAAATTAATCACAGTTGAAGAGACAAATTTTCATAAAAAGCACAGAGGACTCCTAGATAATGTCACTTTCCAGTCATAACACATATGGAACCACCACCATGCTCCTGCAGTGAGTGGCACAATACCTCCTGGCAGGCTCTCAGACATCTGCAGGGAGCATGCTGCCAGAGTGAGCTACTGAGCTAGGCCTTCTCACCAGCCTGCTGGGACCCAGCATCCTTGGATCTGGTTCCAAGACAACACAGTATTGCAAGCCTGGGAGAACCACGTGCCCCACCCACTCCACAAACCCCAGAACTGTGCTGCTAGCCTGATCCAAAACCATCCAGAACCCACACTATGCCTAGCACTGGGACTTGTTGTCGGGGTGACTGGGAGAAACACAGAGCATGCCACAGAGGAGCTCTGACTGTGGAACCCTCTCCTTCCCAGCCCCCCAGGACAGCGCTGCCAAGGCCATCTGGAGCAAGCCAATGCTCCCCTAACTCTGGGTGAAAGGGGAGGAGGGACTGAGTGACCAATGGCAACCAGCCTCCACTTCATACTGATAAGTGGCGAACTGGAGCAACCCAGCACATGTCTCACTCCAGCTACAAGAAAACAGGACAGTGTGACCCAGTGTATCCCCAACCCTCTTCTCCCCAGCTCCTGGGACAGTCCTTCAGGGGCTACCTGGAGCAACCCAGCACAAATATCACTCCAAGCCATAGGAAAGCACTGCTGAGGCAACCTGGTGTGCCCAGCCAGGGCCATAGGACTGTGCTGCAAGTGCACTGCCAGAGGTACCTAGGGTGTCACCCTTCTGCAGGTGCTGGGGCTACACAGTGAATTTCATGCCAGAGGGCTCTGGGTCCTCAAAGGTCATCACACATTAGAGGAGCTATGAACATGGTCCCATCATACTGAGCATCTGAAGCAGAAAACTGAGGGACCAGATCCATGGGACAAGGGGATACAACTCAGAGCAGAGACAATAAAGGCGTGAGACTCAAGGCAGACCCAGGCTTTCAAATAATGATTTCTAGACTATTGCCCTGATAGGGTATTCAACCTCTCAAACCCAAGCAGGGTGCACAGGGCTAGAGAGGGACATAAAAAATGAGAGACAAAGAAAGAACCCACCAAGGAAAGAAAAGGAGATATCACCAGAAAAGAAACTAAGTGAAATGGAAGCATGCAATATGTCAGGAAATTAATTCAGAGTAAGGGTCATACAGTTCATAAACCAGATGGAAGAAAAATCAAATACTTTTGTAAGAATGAAGAGGAAATAAGAAAAGATATAGCTACAATAAAAAACATGATGGAAGGTTTCAACAGTAGACCAGAGAAAGCAGAGGACCAAATTAGTGAGTTAGAAGATAGGGTAGTTAAACACACCCTATCTGAACAGTAACTGGAGAAAAAAAAAATAGAAAACAGGAGGAGAGCCTAGGAGAGCTTTGGGACAACACCAAATGAAGTAACATACATATAATAGGAGTGCCCGAAGAACAAGAAGAGGAGCAAGGATCAGAAAACCTAATTGAAAAAATAATAATAGAAACCTTCTCTGATTTGGGAAGGAAAAAGTCACACAAGCACAGAAAGTCCCAAACAAGACAAATGCAAAAAGACCCAAACCAAGACAAGTCATTATTACAATGGCAAACGTTAATGAAAAAGAGAGAATCTTAAAGGCTACAAGAAAGAGACAGAGAATTACCTACAAAGTGTCTCCCCTTAAATTATCAAATGATTTCTCAACAGAAACACATCAGGTCAGAAGGGAATGGAATGAAGTATACAAAGTAATGCAAAGTAAGGGACTGAATCCAAGAATACTCTATCCAGCAAGGCTATCATTCAATATTGAAGGGGAAATTAGGAGCATTGCAGACAAAAATAATGCAAAGGGAGTTTATCACTACCAAGCCAGCAATGCAAGAAATGCTAAAGGGACTGTTTTAAAAAGAAGAAGTAGAAAGGAAAGAAGGAACACAGGCATACAAATAGAAATAGCTACAAACTAGTATATGTAAATAATAACTTTAAACATAAATGGACTAAATGCTCCAATCAAAAGATATGGAGTGGCTGAATGGATAAGAAAACATGATCCATATACATGCTGTCTACATGAGTCCTACCTGAGAACAAGGGACTCACACAACTGAAAGTGAAGATATGGTAAAATATTTTCAGACAAATGGAAATGAAAGAAAACTTCAGTCCACAGGGTGATGCTCCATCCACTGAGCCAAACCAGCTAGCCAGGCTCACCAAGAACCATAGAGAGAGGACTCAAATAAACAAAATCACAAATGAAAGACGTGAATAACACCAGAACCTACAGAAATACAAAGGATTTTTAAAAAATACTATGAACAACTCTATTCTGACAAACTGCTCAATCTAGAAGAAATTGACATATTCCTAAAAAAATATGACCTCCCAAAACTTAATCAGGAACAATAAAAAATTTTGAATAGGCCAATAACTATGGAGAAAATTGAAGCAGTAATCAAAACACTTACAGCAAAGAAAAGCCCTGGGCCAGATGGCTTCACAGGGGACTTTGACCAAACATTCAAAGAACTAAAACCTATCCTCCTCAGACTATTCCAAAATATTCAAGAGGAAGGAATACTTACAAGCTCTCGCACTCTATGTTTTTTTTTTTTTTTTTAGAATTTAAGTGGTTTTTATTGTATACTTTTATCACACTTCTTAGTATGTTTGTAAATATTCTAGTACGTTTGTAAATGTTCATAATGATTCATTGAAAGCAAAATACTCAAATATTCCCCTGTTGTTCCTATCAGTGAAAATGGAATGGACATCTGTTTCATCAAATGATTATTTATAATAAATTTAAATAATCTTGCAGCATCAAATACTATTTGCTAAGGAAATTTCATACTTCCAATTGAAACATGAAGAAAACATAAACTGGGAAGGAGAATCAATAAATTACAATATGTAGGAAAAACCCAATGGAACAGCAAGAAACTAGCAATGGGAATGATATTTTTGTAAAAGGCCTTGAAAGAAATCAAGAGTGCAAAAAGTCCTAGTTCTTTCTACAGAAGTGCATTAAACTGATTAACTTTAAAACTAAAGTTTAAAACTATTTGAGAATAGAAATTGTATTTTACCTAATTTTATTTTGTGT